ATGTAATCATATTTTGTGAGCAAAAAGTAATACAGGTTAAGAATGAAGGATGAACAATAGTGGTATCAGTAGAACCCTGCAAATCTGCATATATCCGCTTTATATCTGTGGATGTAGCTGAGGATGTCTGCAGGTCATCTTTGCAGATGTAGCTACCACTTTTGGATCTGTACAGGGCTCTAAATATCAGAAGTGATGTCCCTGAATATTTACAACCCTAGTTGTATTTTTTAAAAACATAATCTAGGAAATGCTGGTCTTTTAAAGGGTATAGAAATATGCAGTAAATGACTGTTTTTACATAAGCATCTCTGATTAGAAGTTTCAGAAACATTAACATGCTCAAGTGCATGACACACAACCCCATACCCACCCCAAAATTCTCATAATGGAAGATCATTACTTTTCAAATAGCGTGTATGACGTTTTGAAGCAATTTTTAAACTTTTTAGAAACAGACAATATTAATTAGTTAAAAGTGTGTTTAGATAGAGAACTTTACCTAACTCTGAAACAGAATATCTTGTGGTACTTATTTCTTTCCTTGGTAATTTCATTCCTCTACCATGTCTCTGCCACATACCAAGGGTATGTCTAAACTGTTGGCTAAAGTTGGGTTAAGATATGCAACTTCAGCTATGTTAATTGCGTAGCTGAAGTTAACGTACCTTAACTCAGATTTTGTCGCTGTCTATACTGCAGGAAGTTGAAGGAAGAACACTCTTCCTTCGACTTTCATTACTCCTCGTGAAATGAGGGTTACAGAAGTTGGATTACTTTGAAATATTATTTTGAAATAAAGGACTTGCTGTGTAGACGAGCACTGTTATTTCAAAATAATGCTGCTGTGCAGACATTCAGAAAGAATGAAGGAACAGACTTGGTTGGGAAGTAACAGGAATTTCTGACACCGTCAAAAGAATTTAAGTTATTGCGGATACTTTTTGTCTGCACCAAGAAACTCATTACATAGTGACATCTCTTTTTTATAGTCTATAATACAGGCCAACTTTCTTGTCCCCCATGTAAAACAAGTTTTCTATGAATTGTGTAGAAAGCCATAGCCATTTGTACAAGCCACACAGCTCAGCAAGAGTAGAAGTGAAATGGATAACTTAATCTTCAGACTATATTGTAAAAGACTTTCCTATAATTGTAGAGATAGGTTGGAGATCTTGGTTTAATAAACAGCCTGAAACTAACAAAATATGAAAAAAGCATTTAATATTTCTGAAAATACTTTAATACACAAGTTTCACATTCCATATCACTCACTCACATTTTGGAATGTTCTCTCATTAGAGAAGTACAGATTAAAAATTTCCATGAGATTGAGGCCCCATATTACTTACTGAATTTTAATCTGTCAATACACAGCACTACTTTATTGTCAATACAATTTGTAGCTATCGCAGCAAATCAATAATAGCTAGCTCCTGGTACCATTGTTCACAAAATTAATTAGACCTTTTTGTGTCTTTCAAATAAGTCATTCACAGTACAAAAAATACATGTAAAAGTTAACAATTACAGCAAAGTTAACACAATGTATACATTTATTTTACAGGGATAGAGGTAAAAAAAGGGTTAAATGCTTGCAGAAAAATCATTGTAAGTTTTCCTACAAACATGCTCTGCATGTTGGAAAAATTTTAACCAAAAAAGTCAACTATTGCATTACGTTAGTGCAAGTTCTAGTCTATGTTCAACGTGTAACCATTAGAACACTGATGAATGCACACATTTAATACTTTATGAAGTATCGACATGCACAACTGGCAGTTCAAGAGACTGATCCTGCAGTCCTTGCTCTTGTGAAAAGCTCCACTGGTTTCAGTGGGGCTGCTCATAGGAGCACCTTGAGGGTACTTCAGCTTCATTTATCAAAGCAAGACCTACAATCTTGTTACTCTCTTTCCTTGGAATTGTCTTAAATAATGCCCAAACTTACCATTTGATTATGTTTTGTCACTGATGCATCTTCCCTGAAATTTCACAGTGAACATTACATTTTATTTTTGGGATCAAAGCTTGAAGGGTTTTTTGTTTGTGTTTGTTTTGTTTTCTTGTGTAAGCTGGCCAGAGCATTGTGCTCCTTAATGAAAAAGAAGCAAAGCATTGCTTTGCTAACATGGTACTCCCAACTACTTTGGGATTTTAATTGTTCTGAATGGCAAGGGGTAAAATGTACATCAAATATAAATCTATATTCAAGAGGTGACACTTCCAAAAATTAAACACATCGAAAGTTTGATTTTTAATATTATGCTTACATAGGCAGGCTTAAGGGTTTGGAATCTAAATTCTGTAAAATGAAGTATTGTTCCTGGGAATGATGCGAAAGAATGTGTAATTAAAAAAAATTATACTACAGTGATTTAAGGGATTAGGAAAATGTGAAGTTTTGTGTGTTCTTATTTCCTCCTGGAAATTAAGCAGATATCAGAAGTTAATTCATTATCACACATGCAGAAAAACAAATATCCAGCTCTTTTCTCATACAGATATTTTCCAAGTACATAAGACAAGAATGGAAGGCAATTTAGAAAGATAATCAGCTAACGCTCACCATGTTTCTCACAAGGGTTTATAACATAATAGGAATCTTACACAAATTCAGTAATAAATATTCTTCTGCCAGTATCCTAATCAGTAAATCAAACGCACTCCTAGAAAGGGGTGTCCTGCAGAGATATTTTGTCCCCTTAATATGAAGGATAAGTAGTGAGTAAATGACTAATTGTGTACTCGATACAATTTGTATTGAGTATACGATTAGTTGATATGGGGCCGCTGTGGCTCTGAAGTTTAAATGTAGTAGGAGCCAGGTGTGCAGGCAGCCTGGCTCCTCCTATATTTTAACTGCAGAGCTGCAGTGGGGGTAGGTCCGGGACCCTGCAGTCCTGGCTTGCATGGGGTCCAACGCTGCACCTTTGTATTTAAATGTAGTAAGAGCCACCTGCGGCATGAGCCGTTCTTACTACATTTAAAAGGCAGAACTGCAGCACCACTACATTTCGCCTCCCCCCACACACTGTGGAGATGGTGCTGGAGGCAACTTGTTTTTAAGCCGGCTCGCCCCGCCCCTCCAGCACCAGTTCCCTCCCTTGCTGCCTCTGATATAGAGGCAGGAAGGGGGGAATGCAAGCCTAGTCAACTTATCAACTTCTCTTTTGCATCCCTACTTAATATAACAACTATTCTAGAAAGAATCTAAGGATGAGAGAACAGAAACAAACCTCAATTAATGTTTATATTCCCTCTGGGATAGTCATCAGTAAATACACGAGGCAATTCAATAGAGAATTAACACCATAAGGTGTTCACAGTGTGACAATTCTAATAGAAAACTAACTCTTACAAGGTAACATTGATAAGTAAATGGACTGGAAGAGTGACTCTTGACCCATGCCTTTTTAAACACTAACACTGTGGCCACTGTTATATAAAAACTAAAAAATTGGAAGATGGTAACATGTCTTTTAAAGGAAATGATTTTTGAAAAACTGCACAGTACATTGACTTTCAAGAAGAATCTGCACTTTATGTTAATTTGGGCAGAGGCTGATAAAATTTGGAAAGAAACAATAATTCTTCAATCACATTGCACATAACATACAATTCCAGCAGATTATAAAATATCAATCATTAGCTGTACACTCTTGTCTCATGAGCATGGAAATCTACTTTATCAGCATGTGCACTTAATACATTAGGAAAGAACTTTGATAAAAATTAAATGAATATCCTTAACAAGGACACTACTAAGTAGTGTCCCTGGCCCTACTGTTTTTTCTTGAATCATTGTGGCACTTAAACACTCAAGTGGACCAACTGTGGAAGATGTATGAAAAATCACAGCTTTTTCCATTACCGTATACAATATGATTTCCGTGCTGAATAACCGCAAGCATTGTTTAATTACCTGACATAAAATATTTATCACATTTCAGTTCCCTATCTAAGTAATTGTGGGTAGGATTTTCAAAGCAATTAGCCTTTGCCCAATTTGCCATCAACTTTAGTATAAGCTTAGGTAGACCAATATCAAGAGCTTTTGAAAACCCTATCATGTGTAGTTAACTGTACAGCCTAATTCCCCTCAATACAAAATTCAATTGTGTAAAAACAGTCATTGAGTTATGGTGCTGTCTCCTCATCTAGATTTAAATCAGCTACAAAGAAAGTACAAGATCATAACAATTATTATAATTTTTTTGTAACCAAACAAGGGAGGCAACATATGAAAGACTATAAAATAATTTTAACTTCTAAAACAACAGACCATACAAACATATCTTTCTCAAAACAATGCTCAAATAGCGACTCGAGAATTATTTTTCACTCTTCTATCCAATAAGATCTCCCATTTTAAAGGAAATACTTCTTAAATATGCACAATTTTAACATTTTCTTTAGTCTTTGATTGCAACATAGTCTTAATCTCGAAAATAATTTTCTACTGATTGTCTTTTAGCCTCACTCCATATACTAGGCAGATTTCTCTCCCTGAATTCCTATGCAGTAGGAGCCAATGTCAGCAGTAATATACAGGCAGTCCCCGGGGTACGTACAAGATAGGGACTGTAGGTTTGTTCTTAAGTTGAATTTGTATGTAAGTCGGAACTGGTACATATTGTAGGGGAAACTCTAGCCAAACATTTCTCTAGAGCTCAGTTTTATTCTCCCACACCTCACTTCCCTCAGTCCTTTATTCTCAAGCTGAGGTGTCTGCTGAGAAAAGCCGCTCCGCGTCTCCCTGGTCTGCTGGGCACGTCTCCCTGGTCGGCTGGGGGGGAGAGGCGCTAGCTTCATGTCTCCCTGGTCTGCTGGGGGGAAGCAGCTAGTGCGGGGTTGCCTCACTCCGTTTTTAAGTAGGGATCCGATGTAAGTCGGATCCATGTAACCCGGGGACTGCCCGTACATGGCAATGCAAATAATGCTTGTTGGTTGGTTAATGCAGAAGAATTAGCAGAGGCAGAACTTTTTTTTTTTTTTTTAACAGAGGCCCCAAAACTAATGAACAATGCTGCAATAAACTGGGCTTTTTAAATTAGGGAGACTCAGGAGCATATTTTATTGCTACTCAATTATAAATATGCTAAAGAGGGATAAGCCCAAAATAAACTGATAGTGCTCTTAACTTTAATTTCTTTTCTTTTGTTTAGTGTCAAACCTAAAGTAATGTGACTGGATCAGATTCAGCTTTTTAACTTTAGTAATATGGTACTTAGTTCATAGTTGCATCACATCCAATACAACGACAAAGAATTTTTTAAAGAGCTTTCATTATCATCACAACCCTTGCTAAGGGTAGGTTTTTTCACACCCTTTACAGTCTTGTGTGGAATTCTTATTTTCTCTCCATTAACATCAGCACATGCAAAATGTGTATTAAAAACATTATGAAAAATATTTCCTGGAAGTACACAGCAGCTCCAGCTACTTTTTGAATAAAAAAAGTTAACTGTGCCATTTCAGTTTTATTCACTCACGGTCCAATCCACACTCTTCACCAACATCCAGCATTCCCCATCTTCTTCTCTTCCCCTTAATAACAAGTAACTATTACTTACTATTTGTCTCTTCCTTAATATTCTGGACATCACTAAACTGAATTCAGGCAAATTTTAACAATGCATATGTTCAGAATGGGGGGAGAAGGAAGGAGTTTGCTATATGATAGACATGCCCAACAGACCGGTAACAATGGCAGTGCTATCAGGCTTAAATGTAAAGGTCAACTCAATATCAAGATTTGACTAAAACTCATACTAAAATAGTAAGTTATACTTTTCTCATGACACAACAGTAGCATTATTGTAGTGTGGTGGCACTTCTTTCGGAATCCAGTGATTTGCTAACCCCTCCACCTATTCATGCTGAGTGGGTTATGCTTTTAGGTTACAGAAAGCAATATGACTCATTTCTCCTCACTATGCTAAAACTATTGTCAGTCCCTAAAACACGCTCTGCTCTTCTATTCAATTTTTGATGAGAAGCAATGGTTACTAAACATAGTTAGGAACCAGGAGTTCCCAAGTGCAAAATACAGACACTTGAATTCTGAAGAAATCACTCAATATCTGTGCATCCATTAACCAGCAATTAAACTGGATAAGCACATGATCTTTCTGAAAAAATTAGCTGCTGCATCTAAAGTTGGGTTTTCCACAGTAGGCAAGTTAACATAGGTAGCACTCAACGACAAATTGCTATATGGAAGCAGGAAACACAAAAAGAAAGATTACAAAAAAATCACACTGAATGACCAGAATTTTTGTAAAAAAATGGGAGAAATATAATTTTCATAGCAAAGAGATGACTCCCAAGTGCAGCTAGTTGCCCCACAGAACAAATAAATTCTACTGTTATACTGATCAACAGTACATGACAGCAATTCAGGCAGAGTGGAGGCGCAATTAAACTATTTCACTTTGTGGTTACAAAATCTCTCTGTGCCACACACATCCATTTCCTTGGGCTAACTACTATATTAGAAATATAATTATACTGTAGTGACAGATACAGCTTTGCAAAGTTCTACTAGCTTCAAAAAACATTTAGTATTTCTGAAGCGTCTTCCTGCCCCCCCCCCCAAAAAAAAGCCTCTTTACAGACAATATGTTTTTAATGGGCTTACCAAGTTTACAAATTAAAAATGTATATGCAACACAGAAGGTTTTCCCTTGGTTGTCAACACACAAAATGGATACACAAGCAATGAAATAGTCAAAACACAGCACACTGTATTACGCAAAAATGTTTCTCATTTCAAGTTTATTAAAACTTTAGCAGTACAAATGATCCAGGTTTTAGATTATCAAAAGACCAAACTGAAGTCCACATTTTTTTTTTTTAAAAAAGGTGTTCCGCAAAATGCCTCAAACTTTGAGACAGAACGGAAACAAGAAGTCTATAGCTCATCCACGTCTGTCTTCATCTGTTCCAGGACTTGATTCATGATCAGACTTTTTATCTTTACGATGGGCATGGTCTCTTTCCTGACTCTTTGATTTTTGGTTTATTTCTTTTTCTGGTGTGGATCTACTCTTCTCTTTTTCCCTACTCCTATGTGTAGATGATTTTTTAAATTCTCTATCCTTACTGCTTTGTCTTCTCTTTGAGTCTGGACTTTTATCCTGATCTCTACTTGCCCTTTTGGTCTCAGGGCTACTACTTTCACGGCTTTTTGAACGTTTCTTCCTTTGGCTTTCAGAATCATTTTTCTTATGTGAACTTCTACTGTCTCTGTTCAGATACTTCTCTTTGTTCCTGCTTTGACTTTCTTCTCTTTCATAGCTCCTTGAGTCTCTCCTCCTCTTACTCTCTTTACTTTTAGATTTTTCTGGTGTGCCTTTTCTCTCTCTACTTCTTGATCTTCCTTTTCTTTTTGCTTCTTTATCTTCATTTTTTGAATGCTCTTTACTTCTACTCCGGTCTCTGTCTCTACTTCTAGATCTGGCTCTTTTCCCCTTGTCTCTGCTTCTGCTTCGTTCTCTTGCTTTACTATTGGAACTATGCTTTCCTTTAGTCTGCTCCCGTTCTTTGCTCCTTGACTTTGCATGTTTCTCCCTATCTTTGCTTTTACTGTGATCTTGTTCATTACTTTTTGATCCTGCACGTTTATACCTCTCTTTACTTCTGCTCCTTTCTTTATCTCTCCCTCTAGAATTATGGTGCTTGTCTTTACCTCTCTCATGATCCCTCTCTTTGCTTCTCGATCTTACTCTCTTGTCTTCATGTCTATTGTGCTTAGAGTCCCTTTCTCTGCTCTTTGATTTCTCTTTGCTTTTGCTCCGGCTTTTAGATTTAGCCCTTTTCTTGGCCTTGCTTTTGTTATGTTTATCGTCTTTTTCGGAATTCCTCCTTGTCTCCCTGTCTTTACTGCTGGATTTGTGGTCTTTTGTCTTCCTCTCCTTTTCCCCTCTTCTGTTTGGACTCTCAGAGACTTGTCTGTGGTCTGATATTTTTCTTTCCTTTCCTCTCCCAGGGCTTTTCTGAGTATCCTTCTTATTTTCATTGACTTCGCTCCTTGGAGAAAGAAAATGTTTTACATTTTTTCAACTAAAGAAAGGAAAATAAATTTACTATTGAAACTGTTAACCATCACATGAAGTTGTGTTATAACATCTATATTAATAGCTTTTGTGTTATCATAACCCTAACAGGGGGGAGGGGTGTTTTAAAAGGGATAAAACAAAGATAGCAACAAGATAATTAAGCCAAAAATTACATATTCAGAGAATAAAATAATTCACTGTGATATGACAGACAAGAAAAATGGCACCACTGTATTCTGGACAGAAATTCCAATGTAGGTAAGAAAAAGCAGAATCTTACTTGTCTCCCTTTATCCATCTTTCTCCACTGGAAACTCTCATTCTTTGAGCTCTTTGCATTTCCTGCCTCCAATGTGGAGGAGTCTCACTGCGCCTGAAGCGATCTCTTGACCTGGATCTGGAAGGTGTCCGATAGCGCTTGAGAGGGGAAAAAGAAATAATATTAGATAACGGAGTTTAACTTTCCATAGTAGTCAAGATACACTACTCCAGCCCCTTTACAAGCAAATCGGGGAGAATCTCACGCCAGGTTTACACTAACGGGGAAGGTTGAATTAAGATATGCCACTCCAGCTACATTAATTACGTAGTGAGAGTCAATGTACCTTAATTTGAGTCTCCCTGCCATCCCCACAGCGGGAGGCTGATGGGAGCGTGTAATTAGCTAATTGTATAGTTGACAAAAATTCTGTCAACTACACGATTGATAAAAGTTAGCGTTGCAAGTATTCAGTCCTGGCTCGAGCCAAGTCCCGGAAACTTCCCCTGTTGCTGCTCTGCATTATTAGGGAACTGGGGAGCCGGTGCGCCTGCTCTTAAATTGTTTCTATAGTGCAGAGCCACAGTGGTGGCAGTTGCTGGGATCTGGCTCGAGCCGGGACTAAGTCAGCCTACCCCCGCACACTGGCTCCTAAAGTGCATCTAATGCAAAGCCGCAACAGGGATTGATGCTGGGACCCAGTGTGATCTAGGTCTGAACCAGCCTGCCTGCTCGCCAGCTCCCCAGTTCCATAATAATGCAGAACTGCGGTGGGGGTTGTTGCCAGGACCTGGCCCGAGCTGGAACTGAGTCAGCCTGTCAGCCAGCCTGCTAAAAAAATTTACTTGCAGAGACACTCGGGGGTGTGTGTGTGGAGGGAATTGTGTATAGCTGACAGCATTAACCAATAAGCTCTCGTTTATCATTTAATCGACTACACTATCACATCCCTACTTTGGATGTGTGTATGTCCTGTACCCATCTTCTACACTGATCAATTCAAATGTCGTTTAAATATATGCCAACAAGAAAACCTCAATGAAAAGTGCAGAGTCATGCTGAGTTCATAGGACCCAAGTGCATAGGGTCTTGGAGGCTACTGAAGGGGAATGTTTCTTCTGAGTTTCCCCAGTACAGATCCTGCCACATTATCATAGTATAGAATGTAAGAGAAACCCACAACTTAATTTAACAACCTAACTTCAGTGGACTTTATTAAAATTTAATTAGGATAAAACAATTTACTTGGAATTCTGTTCTTTAGATTATTGTTATTACAAATTCTTACTCTGAATCCCAAACCTCTGACACCTGACAGGTCAGCACTTGGTGGAACTGGGTTTTTTTCCCCAGAGACATGTTTTCTGCATTAAATTTCAACATTAAATATCCATTTTTTTCCCAAATGTATTTAGGAAGCAGTACTGGCTAGTGCATAGACAAAAAGCACTGATGTCAGAAATGCTGGGTTGCAGACTCAACTCTATTGCTGCCTCTACCTGATCGAACCACTTTGCTAAATTAAGGCACCGGGGTTATCTGTAAAATGGGCATAATAGCCCACTTCTTCTCTCCCAAGAGAGAAACCAAATTGCTTTGAGAATCTCTGATAATGTGCACTATTGAAGTGCACATCATCACCATATACCAAGGCTGGAGTTTTTTGTTTATTTCTTTGTTTACACTTACCCTCGGTCCTCTTCCTTTTATTTTCCTTCCAGATCTGGTCACTAAAAGCCTTCTCTGGTATGACTGGGAATTTGATGGATTACTAAAAATGAAGAAAACTGATGTTGTCACTTACATTGTTTTAAAAATTGTGGTGGGAGAAAGATAAGAAAATCTCATTTGGACAGGGATGAGGAACCTATGACCCACGGGCCAGCCCCAGCCCGAAGCTTGCCTTGATCTGGCTTGCAGCAGAGGAGGAGGAGGGAGAAAGAAGGGGAAACCTAAGCCAGCAATTCCCATCCACTGGTCTGCAGAACAGTGGCGGGCCATGGTACTCTGCCAGGCTAGGCCCCCAGTTGCACATGCACTAAAAATTCTCTCCCGGTGAGTGGCACTGTGGGCTGCCCCATGTGCTGTGGCTGGAGCTACTGGGGCAGCCTCACCACAGCCCTAGTTCCAGTTCCGGCAGCAACCATGTGGCCCAGCTGAAGGGGCTGCGTAGTGGTCAGCTGCTTTGTGTCCTTTCCATTTCAGGCAACTTGTTTGGGACCAGGGAGCAGAACGTTTGCGTCCATGTGCATTCCAAGGATGATCAGATTAGAGGCCCTGGGGAGTTGTGCTGGGTCTCTGTGATTTCCAACCCTCCTCTGGCAGAGCCCGACTTCCCCAGTGGGCTCTCCCCTGCTAGCTCTGGCCTGTACCACGTATCTGGCTGCTTCCCAATGTCCCGGGATGCCACAGAGTCAGCAGCGCTGGTCACAGTTGTGCAGCGGGAGCTGGGCTCCCTGACTCAAACCAGCAGGTGTCGGGGGGCCAGCTGTCGGGTAGGTCTCTAGACCCTGTCTGTTAACAGCCTGGGGAGGAACTCTCAAGCCACCAGGAACATGTGCCCGCCCTGTGTGCAGCAGACACCACTGATCCTGTGCATGTCAGAGGCTGGGTTGTTGCCAGGCCTGGCAGTGTGGGGGGAGTCTCTTCCCGGCTGTGGAACAGCACTTTGCTTCGTGGCAGGAGGGCCGCACAGAGCTTGGCACGGCAGCCTTAGAGCAGCTGTGACCCAGGCAGCAGCGCTCAGCTAGGAGCTGGGAGGCAGTGGAGAGCTAGGTGGTGGTGGTGAGAGGGGGAAGAAGAGGGGGGCCTGAGCCGGGCAGCTCTGGGGGCAGGGCTAGGATTGGGGGGCTCTAGGAATGAGGCCAATATTGGAGACTGGGGCTGGTACTGGGGGGAGGCAATGGAAGGGCTGGGTGCAGTGGGGCTCTGGAAACAGGAGGCTGGCACTGGGGGGTCTGGTGCTGGTGGGGCTGGGCACAGGGAACTCTGGAGTCAGTGGCTGGCACGGGGGGGGGGAATAGAGGGATGGGCAGCTCTAGAGGTAGGGATGGCATTGGGGGACTATGTAGGCTGGGGCTTTAGGCAGATTGGTAACATTTTATTTGAATATTTACATATTCATTATGCAAATAACGAATACACAAACACGCAAATGTTGCTGGTCCGCCAAAAGTTTGTGAATGGGTTTGCCAGTTCCTGGTATCAGAAAGGTTGAGGACTACTGACCTAAACCTCCTGGGCCCAATCAAGGCAAGGTGCAGGCCAGATTTGGTCCATCAGCTCTGCCTGGCAGGAAGGAAGGGGCAGCTCTGTTGCAGGAAAGTGCTCCCTGCATACACTGCCCCCATCGTTCCCATTAGCCAGGAATCACAGCCAATGGGAGTGGAGCGGTGACGGTGGCTGCTGGGAGCGCTTCAATACAGGATGCAGAGCCACATAAAGGCACCCCTCCATCTGGCCAGACCACACATCCCCTACCCTGGTTCCTGCACCCTCCCTGGCCAGACCCCTCATCGACATCCCTCTCCTGCCCAGACCTGCACCACTCTCCCACCCAGACATTACCTGATGCCCAGATCCCAAATCCCACCATGCTCCTGCACCCTCCCTTCCTTCCAGACACTGCATCCCTATCCCACTCCTGCACACTACCTCCTGCTCAGACTCCCCAACCTCAGCCCACATCTGTACCTTCCTTTCCTTCCCGATTCTATACTCCTACCCTCAGCCTGCTCCCTGGCAGTATCCTCCCACACACAGAACACCTCATTTCTGTCCTCAGCCCAGAATCCCCCACAAGATCTATCAGCTCTTGGTCTCCAAAAGAGTTAATCTGGCCCTGGGAGTAAACCTTGAGCCTCAGCCCCGAGCCTTGGCACATCCTCCTCCCCCCTTCTCTGGAACTTGTGGGGAGTTAAGGTGTCTTTTTTTTTTTCCTGCTTCTTGGTTGGAGGCCACATCTATGAGGGAGTTTTTTCCTCCTCACTTGGGGCCTGGTCAGTAAAGGTTTTTTTTCTTGTTTGCTACTCACTTGTGTGTGATCTCTGACTGATTTTTCTATGTATCCTTGGCCCCCAACCCGCACTCCTGATTTAGACAGACTCCACTACTATTTTGGATTGGTTCTTTTGCAAATTAAAAGAAGTCATTCGAAATGAAAATAAATATTAATTCTCACACTACTCAGCCAGCTAAGAAAATAATTAGCATAATCTCTCTATTTTACCATCCTATTCATAGTATACTAAAGTTATACAAGGTTTAAAAAAACCTTTTGGGGCAGATGGGAAAAATGTTGTCTTACATATTTTTGGAAAAAACTTGGAATAGGAACATCATGAAATCTCAATACATGCACATGCCAAAACAAAGTCACTGTCAGAATATTATAAGCCTGGTCCTTTCTTTTCCCTATCATTCATCATTCTATTTACATTTTCTTGTTTCTTTAAGTGCTTCTGCAAGGTGTCTAAGCACTTTTTCAGGTGCCACAAAAATTTGCAGTGGAATTACAGCTTGTGAAATATTGCAGACACAGTCATAAGGAGAGAACAATTCTGTTTAATCTCAGGATAAGTACTGTATGATGATGGCTTGTCCTGTACAAGACTGATTACACTAACTGACAGTGTGCTCCAACCTTGATCTAGAGCAGGACTACTCAACACGCGGTCCATTTGTTTGCAGCTGGCGGTGCAGTTTGGGATTACACAGGACTCAACACGTGGCCCGTGGGTGGGATCCTGCGTCTCCCAGGTAGGGTAACCATTAAAAGACACAAGCAGATAGGCTGGCTGGAAGAGATGGGTACAGGGTGTCATCATTTCTAGCCCTCACAGAGGAGGTGCTGGGAGCACCTGGGCTTTGTGGGAAGTGCTGGCTGCTTATCCTTCTGGGCAGAGCATGAAAGCTGCAGACTGTTCCAGGGAATTAGCCATATTTGGCCACACTGGCCATATTTGGGTCTGGCGCCGTGACTTAAGGTTTAATCTATGTAGTCATGCCTGTCACTATGAAAGAAGCTATTTGTGTATATATTTGCATGTATATGCAACCACACTTAAGTTGCGGCCCTCGGCATGTGCTATGAGTATCACTGTGGCCCCCCGGGGCTTCCAAAGTTGAGTAGCCCTGATCTAGAGAGTACTTAACAAGGTCGAGGCTCATCTGCCTGGTTCTGAAGAACTCCCTCCCAAAAGATAATAGCACAGTAAGAGTACAGGTTGGACCTCCCTGGTCCAGCACCCTGGGGATCTGACTGGTCCTGGATGAGGGATTTTGATGGACTACAGGTCTTTTCTGGTCCCCATGCTTCCAGCCCCACTCCCTGCCCTGCCACCTCACTGGCTCCCCTGTTCAGCCCAGCTGAGTCACATGCCAACCTTTCCGCCACCCCGCCTCCACTGCAGCCCAGCTGAGCGCCAGGCTTCCCAGCTCAAGCCTTCCTGCAATGCAGCCAAGTGCTGGACTTCTTAGCCTCCCTGCAGCCCAGTCGAGCTGTGCACCCAACTTCCCAGCTCCCTGCAGCCTAGTTGAGCTGCATGCCGGGCTTCCTGGCTCCCAGGCAACCCAGCCGGGCCATGCACCAGGCTTCCACTTCCCAGATTGTGCTGGGTTCTCCCTCCCCCTCCCAGCGTAATTGGGCCATCCTCTCACCATCCCCATTATGCTGGGACTCTCTGATCCTGGAACATCCATGGTCTGGATGCGGCCGGACCAACGAGTCCCGGTTTATACAGGTGCAACCTGTACTATACACACATATCAAGAACAATAGATATACCACTTATCTTATTTTGTACAGAAAATATAAATTTCTATGTCCCAGGACATAAGTCAACCCCTAACTGGATGTAATCAGGAACATATTTCCTATATTGGCAGTTGGTTTAATAATTATCTATTATAATATTTCTTGAACTTGCCTCAGAAATTTCTGTACTGGCTGCAGTCAGTAACAAGAACTAGAGAAGATCATCTATAGGTTTGGTAAGGTATGGCAGAATGAATGGGACAGTGTCCAGTAGAAGGCAGTTCATCAGAAACTGGACTGAGAAACATACTATTTCATAGAGCCATATCATGCTGAAGTTCTACTTGATACTAATGAGTCCAGGGGTGAGGTAGCATCTTTTTACTGGAGCAACTTCTGTTGGAAAGAAAAGCCATACAGAGCTCTTCTTCAGATCTGGGAAAACCTTAAGAACTGTATGTGGCATAAAAGCTTCCCTCTACCATCAACGGAAGTCGGTTCATTAAAAGATACTACCGCACTCACCTTATCTAATTCCCTGGGACTGACTCTGCTACAACTATACTGTATACAACACTTACTACTAAAGCAGTGATCTATTCTTGAAGTGAAAGGTTCCATATACTGTTTGTAAGTCCCCATGGCCAGCCAATTCAAGTGAAAAATTGTATTTGTTAGTCAGAGCTTACATTTTTTCCATTCCTTCTTACCTTCTTTTCCTTGTAAAAGTCCTTTAAAATATATCATTGCAATATCCACGTTATTTACCCTTGCAAACAAGCACATTTTATGAAATCTGAAGTGCCATTGCTCATAAAGTGCCAGTGGTTAAGCACCACATGGGAAACCTGGACTTCACCTATGAATCTAATTACTGACTTGATCACACCATTGTCACATGCAGTCCCAACTCAAACACATGTAAGCTTACCTGTCTCTTTCCTTCTCTCTGCTTTTCCCCTCTTTTTCTTTTTCATCTATTTTAGGAGGACTTTTTCTCATAAGGAACCTGTTTTCTGGTACAGGAGGGATCTCCTCGGGACGGACTGTAGACAATGGCTGTGCTTCAGGGTTTTCATTTTCACTTTCACTGGATGAGCTTTATTAATACACAAATAAAAACCTATCAATGCTTCAGTTTTAAATATTCGTGTACTTTAGATTGGGCTTTCTAAGAAAGGCCTTTCAACCTGTCTATATTTAAGTACTACAGAAGCTTTGTCAACTGAAGAGAGAGACAGAAAAAAAAAGAGAAAAAAAAAAGAGAGGAATTATTTACAATTCATCACAGCAATTTAGAAAAGGTCCAAGTTCCAAAGGTTATACTTAATGGTCTTCTTGGTAGTAATATAAAAGAAATCTAGCTAAGACACAAAATTTGGAAAGTTATCAAACATTTACACACATGAAACAAAGGCTGAGATTTCAAAAACAGCATTTTGCTCCCATGAGGTCTTCACTCAGAGAAGTACATTATGTATGTATTCCTGACTAATGGCTTTTTAATAGATACAGATTAATATACTTATCGAATCCCTAGGTTGGAGCAGATTTTAAATGTTCTAGGGAGTTTGAGCTTCCATGGTATGGCTCTGGGGGTAGCCCTGCCATGTCAGGGCTTCCAGGTTCTCTTCTACTAAGCTGGGAGTCTGAAAGCCCTTGGGTACTCAGCTCCCTGCTCCGCATCCAATGGGCATGAAAATCCTGAAAACCTTGGTTCATAAGTCTTCTAGGTTCCCTGCCACAGAGCCAGAAACCTGGAGGTCCTGGGATGAGCTTCCAAGGTCTGTGACTTTAGGGCAGCCACACCATGCAGACTGCCCTTGGCTGGGTTTCCAGACTGGTGGAACAGCTGGTTCCCTAGGCTGCCCAACTGAATGAAACCAGATTTCCAAATACCAAAATTTCTCACAAACTCAAAGTCCCAAGTTTCAACCAACTCTACTTTAGACACAGTTTGAAAAATGTATAAAAAAAGGATGGAGTTCAGCTTATACTTGAATGTAAAACTTCAAGGAACTGCATGATTATATGTCAGAATCTAAAGGATTCTGAGAAAACTGAGTGTTTAGATGGAATAACGGTTCTTGAGAAAAATGAGTGTTTAGATGGTACAATACATGAAGCTGAGGCTGATCTGGAGAACAGGACTGCTGTAGCCAATTATTACCTTGATTCTTAGTGGTTGCACTTAAAGAAAATGCACTTGTACATCAACTTTACCTGTAAGTCACATTTTTGCATGGGAATACTGTAGTAAACTGGGGGTAACATTTTCAAAAGCAGTCAAAATACTTAGAAGCCTAAAGTTCCATTGCCTTTTAAGGAGACTGGTGTCCTTGGGTAAAATTTTCACAAAAGAACCAGACAGGTTTAAACATGATACCTGATTTTTGAGAAGTTATTACAGGCTGTACCTCCCCTGTCTGGCATCCTCAGGACCTGAGAGGTCCTGACCCAAGGAATTTGCCAGACCAGGGGTGGTCAATGCAGTAGGGGCTCTGCTTGTCCCATAGCTGCCCAAGGGCTCTGCTTTTCCCTAAGCAGCTCCACTACCACCAGGTCTCTGCTCTCCCCACATCACAGGGTAAAGGAGAGCTCTACTTTCCCCTCGTCATTTCGCTGCAGCCTGGGGGTCCCCTCTCCCTGCAGTGGTTGGGAACTCCACTGCAGTCCAGAGCTCCACTCTCCCTGTAGTGGTTTCACTGCTGCCTGGGGCTCTGTGCTTTTCCTGGTGGCTTCGCTTTCTCCCCTGCAGCTCTACTGCTGCTGCCCAGAGATCAGCTACTGGCTAGTGTGTCTGACCTCCCCCCAGAACCCTGCTGTTGCCTGGGGCTTCACACTGCACTGAGCAACTTTGCTACTCCCCGGCAGGCTACATCACGCAGTCCCGCTGCCGCTCAGGGAGCTCCACGTTCCACTGAGTGACTCTGCTGCCACTTGAGGGGCTCTATGTGCCTTCCAACGGCTTTGCACTCTCCTCCCCAGTACCTCTACTATGGCCCATGGGGCTCCACACTCCCCTCTGGCAGCCATGCTGCTGCCCTCCTACCAGTGACAGAGAACTCCGCTCCTCTCCTCCTCCTCTGCTCTGCATTCCTCCCAGTGACTCTGCTGCCCCCTATGCACTGTCTTGGCCCCCTAATTTGGCAATGCTCCTGGTCCCAGCCCAACGGCTTATCCCTGTGAGTGCCCACTTGGATGATGTCGGACCAGGGATGTTGCCACACAAGGGAAGCCTGGACTGAGGAGTTTCAATCTGTACAAGTTACACATATGCAAATTAAAGGTATCAACATGTTTGAGTTGCAATGTTGTTTGTTAAAAAATAATCCAGGGTCCTGCAAATCCTCCATACACTAACTGGTTATTGTTCAAACAGACAGATACCAAAGAATTATATATGTGCAGAACCTGAAATGTTGTTTAGAGAATTTTTTCCTAAATTGATCCCAAAACAAAAAAGTAGTTACCTGTAAACATTTATTTTTCTATAGCATATGTACTAACAAATTTTTACATTTAGATGTTTAACTACAAGCAACTTGGACTGCTACCAAAAGTTTTTCAGAATAAAAACATAATCCTACCTTTTCTTACTTTTCTTTCTCTTTTTCTTTTCCTTTTCCTTCTTCTGTTTTTTAGAATTTTTCTTGTGTTTCTTTTTTCTTTTCTTAGGTTTCTCTTCAGAAGCACTTTCAGAATCAGATGATGAATCAGAGGAAGATTTTGAATCACTTGAACTTTCTGAATCGCTAGAGGAGGAGGAGGACTTGTGTCTTTTCTTCTCTTCTTTCTTGGCTTTAAATAAAAGTTACAAAGAAATAAAATCAGATGTCAAAGAGTTACATCCAAAGCCCAGAATAGCCAATTCTATATAATACCTCCCAGAACTTCCTAAATAATTCTGACATGATACTTTACCTTGTAACTAAAGTCATTATGATAAATACATGATACACAAAGATTTGGGGAAATATTTTGTAATACAGGCAGTCCCCGACTTACGCGGATCCGACTTATGTCGGATCCGCACTTACGAACGGGGCTTTCTCGCCCCGGAGGTCGAGGGGGCGGATTGCTACCTGCGAGCTCCGGGGCGAGAAAGCCCCGTTCGTAAGCTGCTCCGGTGCCTGTGGTCTGCTGGGGACCGTCCCCAGCAGACCACAGGCACCGGAGCAGCTTACGAACGGGGCTTTCTCGCCCCGGAGGTCGAGGGGGCGGATTGCTACCTGCGAGCTCCGGGGCGAGAAAGCCCCGTTCGTAAGCTGCTCCGGTGCCTGTGGTCTGCTGGGGACCGTCCCCAGCAGACCACAGGCACCGGAGCAGCTTACGAACGGGGCTTTCTCGCCCCGGAGGTCGAGGGGGCGGATTGCTACCTGCGAGCTCCGGGGCGAGAAAGCCCCGTTCGTAAGCTGCTCCGGTGCCTGTGGTCTGCTGGGGACCGTCCCCAGCAGACCACAGGCACCGGAGCAGCTTACGAACGGGGCTTTCTCGCCCCGGAGGTCGAGGGGGCGGATTGCTACCTGCGAGCTCCGGGGCGAGAAAGCCCCGTTCGTAAGCTGCTCCGGTGCCTGTGGTCTGCTGGGGACCGTCCCCAGCAGACCACAGGCACCGGAGCAGCTTACGAACGGGGCTTTCTCGCCCCGGAGGTCGAGGGGGCGGATTGCTACCTGCGAGCTCCGGGGCGAGAAAGCCCCGTTCGTAAGCTGCTCCGGTGCCTGTGGTCTGCTGGGGACCGTCCCCAGCAGACCACAGGCACCGGAGCAGCTTACGAACGGGGCTTTCTCGCCCCGGAGGTCGAGGGGGCGGATTGCTACCTGCGAGCTCCGGGGCGAGAAAGCCCCGTTCGTAAGTGCGGATCCGACATAAGTCGGATCCGCGTAAGGCGGGGACTGCCTGTACAAATAAAGAGAAATTTTGAAAACATGTAACAATCAATTTATTTTTATTACAAAGCAAAATTTTATTACCAACTGAACTTTCAATAATACTTAGCATTTTCATTGTACTTAAATATTATTTATTTTTAGAAGCAATAGTACATTAAAAGTATATCACAGAATGAAAAGTCTTATCAGGAGTTTGTTCTTTGGTTTGTAGCATTAACATTACCTTGGACAATCTATCCTATTCAAACCCAATTAAACCAGTTTAAAAGCAGCTATATGTAACATAGGGTGATCTAATGAGTCACTTAGCAGCTAGCTCAGCATGAAATACCATAAGATTGGGGAAGACCACCCCACTCCTCCAAAAAAGATAATTCTTACGTGAAACTGAACTCAGAGAATAGAAGTTACCAACAAAGCTCATCATTTTGCTACGAAATTATGCCATGAAGTATGATGTGCAAATCCAACTACTAATTATCTCAGGTTAGGAAAAAACCTCCTACGGGTAGGTAAGTTTCTCCACTTATCCACTATAAAGTTCCTTGCACATTCCTCAATGGTTTATGAAAGGATATTGGACAAAATGGACTGTTGTTCTGATGGCAGTTTTTATGTCTCATCATACCCTTGGCCTCTAACGAAAAGGATTTCAGTGCCACTTTTGGAAGTCAGTATTAAGCCCATTACAGCCTAGATTGAGAACCTAATTTTGTATTTGTTGACAGTATCTGAAACAGGTATTATTAAAAAGGAGCTGAGAACGACAAAATTAATATTGTAAAAGACAAAATTTTAAAACAATATAGCATATTTCACCTTTTCAACAATCAGGTAAAAAAAGGATGTCTCAACTAGACATAATCATTAATTCAATACAAGCTATTGTCCAGCCAGACTTCTCCCAAAAATGTTTAAATAGGGTAGTGATAAGATATTTTCAGATTTTGGAACATTATTAACTGGTTATTCTAATTAGTTTTAAGTTTTATTCCTCCTCCCATCTCCTGTAAATTACAAAGAAAAACATCACTGTATATAGGACAATTTTGAATGGTAGAAAACTGAAGCTCAGGCACTAGAGAAGAAATGCCAAAAGAAAACTTTAGAAAAGCGGAGGGGGGCGAGGGGAGAAGAAGGAACCCATCATGACTGTAGAAAATGACATTTCAGCAAAAAGTTTATGACCTTAAAAACAGATTCAGAGTTAAACAAGGATTTTAAATTTGAATATGACTCCCAGTTGGGATCATGATGGTCTACTTAAACAGTTTTTGGGAGCTAGCATAGAATAAGGGTACGTCTAGACTACATGCCTCTGGTGACAGAGGCATGTAGATTAAACTACCCGGCATAGGAAAATGAAGCGGCGATTTAAATAATCGCCGCTTCATTTAAATTTACATGGCTGCCGCACTGAGCCGATCAGCTGTTTGTCGGCTCAGCATGGTAGTCTGGACGTTTCGCGGTTGACATCAAAGGCATTTGTCGACCTTCCAGCATACGTATGCCTTCTGGGATGAGGCATACCTGGGAGGTCGACAAATGCCTTTGATGTCGACCGCGGAACGTCTCGACTACCGCGCTGAGCCGGCAAACAGCTGATCGGCTCAGCGCAGCAGCCATGTAAATTTAAATGAAGCGGCGATTATTTAAATCGCCGCTTCATTTTCCTATGCCGGGTAGTCTAATCTACATGCCTCTGTCGTCAGAGGCATGTAGTCTAGACGTACCCTTAGTTTCACTACAGATTTATGCTGATTTCATCTGGCATACACCAATGTACAGAAAATGGAATGTCTGCCTGATGGAAGTAACAGCAGCAAAAAGCTGCCTCAAATACCTGAGGCAAAGGTGTTTGCCGAGGAGGAGACAGGGCCACAAAAACAGACACAGGAGTCAGTACAGCTGTAAATGTAGATGCTAATACCTCAGAAAGTATTTTGGAATGTGCACTGACAGTACATTCCCTCTGAATCTGCAAATTAAAACATTGCCTCCTTTGGAAAAAAACATGAGGAAGAGCACGAAAAGAAGCCATCAGGGTGAGCCAAACACAGGGGTTTTGATAGCACAGTGAAGCATATCTATGCCTAGCTGTGGTGGAATAAGATGTGGTTACAAAATTGAGAGTAGCAGTTCTTCGGAAAAATTGTCATATTTCCAAATACCAACATTTCACAAAATATAGCTTCAATTTTCTTCACTGGAGGTTTAACAAACCCCTGTAGGTTGAAATGATGAAGCTCCACAGTTCAACAGAAGTGAGACCCTCAACATCTCCAAATTACTGGAGCCTGACAACCAGCTTCTTTCCTGTGAAGTCCTTAATTCTGCAGAAGTGAAGAGAAACTCTACTCCAACAGAGATATCTGATGGCAGCCTCTGACAACATTAAGCATTTGTGTATTCAGAGAACTTAAGAATAATGAATGGGTTTACTGTGTTCAACTGACAGTAGTAAGAAACCTTACTAAGAATCCATTAACTCAATCCAGGTACTGGATGCGATATACTAGTTATCTGGAAAATGAAATAGGAACTCAGTTAATTCCATATTTCATCTAGAACCACTAGACAGTGGTCAGAAGGAGACGACTGACCTCCATGCACAGAACTTGAGAGATGAAGAGCTGCACTAATGTAAACCTGGAAATCCTCCTTAAAGGAATATAAACTGCTAATTCAGGGAGCAGTATATTCATTCTGGAAATTACTGGTAACTATAGTCCTTCAAACTAGGGATGTAAAATCCTGTTTAAATGGTTAACCGGTAAAACGTTAAGTTTAACTGATTAAATGGAGGGAGGAAAAGATGGATGACAGTAAGGGTGGGCTGGAATGCTGCCCTCTCCCCCTCATCCTTGGTTGGGCTGGCCACGGATAAGGGCTGCTCTGGCTAGGTTGGAGTACACTTGCTTGTGGTATGCCCTGGCCCAGGCTTGCTGCAGACAAGGGCTGCTCCAGCCAAGCTACAGTGCCCCTTCTCACAATGTGCCCCGGTCGAGTTTAGAGTGCTCTTGCCTGCAGTGGGCAGGGGCTGCTTCAGCCACTACCGGTTAACCATAACCAGCAAGCTTCACCAGTTATTTGTTAATCGGTTAACCGTTACCATCTCTGCTTCAAACCACTGAGCAGAGTGGGAATTATCATGCATGCTGGGCTGTTTTTTGAATATATAAAATTAAAAAAGGCGATAATTCTATGAAAATGGAAGAAGAAATTAATACCATTCAGATATTCAAAACTATAGTCTCCTGCCCTGTCATTTATCTACTAACTAGAAGATTTACGTGGCATTGTTCAGGTCCATAACTCAAAGAAGATTTTTTTCTTCATTTAAATCATTGTTCTGGGGTGGGGTTAGAGATCAGGGGTTAAGTATACAGGCTGCCCCGAAGGACAGCCCCAATGTGCTCTCTCCGCAACAGCTTGAGGCAAGGTGAGAAGTGCTTGTCCGTAGCTGCTGTAGCAAGCACAGCCGGGGGACAGAAAGACATGCAGACAGACACAAAGACAAACTCTCTGAAATGTATAGTAAATAGCTATCCCTTTGTCCACCTCTCTCCCCTGCTGGCCCAATGGGATTATAGCTGTTCCAATCCCCATCTCTGGACCCTTGCTATTTCCCGTGTGGTCATTCTGCAGTATACCTGTTCTTCCTGCCAGACCCTTGCCTTTCCATTTTATGAGAAATCATCGAATTTCAGGCACATCTCATTGTCCTGGCACACCCAAACTCTTGCCTCGTTTTAAGTTATGATAAGTGAAGCTGCATGCCAAATTTGGTGATCCTAGCTCTTACAGTTTAGGAGGAATTCTTGAACAAATGAATTCACAGACAGACAGACATTTTTAAAATATATTGTAAGACTCCCTCTTCTATCCAATGGCAGGGACATAAGGAGAACAGTTACTCCAACCTTCCCCGTTCATTAAGCAGAAAGGTCAGCCTAGCCAACAACACACCCATTTTTGAAAAGATGCAATTTGGTGACCTGCAAGAGAGAACAAATCTCTCTGACCCAATTCAGACTCACATGTCTTAGGCCTAAAAGTTGTACAGTTGGTGGATTATTCAATCAGTAGCTAGCAAGGGATAGTCATTTTCCTTCCAGTCATTATTACACCATTCTGACAGATCTGAAGGATTGGAGGTAGAGATGTCAACTTGTAGACGACTATACGATTAACCAATAATCCTCTGGACTACACACATTCCCCACTCCCTCTGTATCAGCTGACTTTTAAACCGGCTCCCCACCCCCATCCCTGCGTTGCTGCCTCTCTTAAAAGCCTGCTCTCCCTTCTTCCCCCCGGCCTATGTTAGAGGCAGCAGCGAGGCAGGGGAGGCTGCTGCAAAGCAGCCTCTGTCTGCAGGTTGTCCAAGCTCCTCATGGACAGAGGCTGCTCCGCAACAGCAGCCCCTGTCTGTGGGGAGGTCTCTGCCCACAGGGAGCTGGGACCCTTCACAGACAGGGGCTGCTGCCACGGGGCAGCCTCTGTCCCCAGCAGCTCCAGGCTCGCCTCAGACAAAGGCTGCTGCTGCCCTTGCACAGCTTCCTCTGATACAGAGGCAGCAGCGCGGGATAGCAGGGGGTTCCCTGGGAGTGGGGCCATGAGTACACTGGCTGCCAGCCCTGCCTCCGGGGACAATCACTAATATTTGATGCGGTTACATGAATATTCAATTACATGCTACCTAACATCCCTAGTTGATGGTAGCTGTGTCCCAGCAATGATCAACTGCAAAAAGTAGATACAGACTCCTGTGTAATGGCTGTCATGGAGGCAAAGGCAACTTACTTCTCCAGTATCAATGTATCACCTGTAATCAGAGGCTAGTATATCTCACTATTTTATCACAGAAATACTGTTCTGATCTGGACTTGAATTACCTAATCAGTGTGAACAGATACACACCTGGAAGGCAAAACATCTGCATACTCTCTGGTTGAGTTTAAGCCAATTTCCATAACATATTCTAGATGTGCTGGGGGAATCTCAGGTTTTTGTTTGCAAGCTAGACACAAGGCCCTAAATCTTCCTCAAGCCCACTGTTTTCCAGGACACAGTCCCCCATTTTATAAATTCCTTATTCTAGTCCTTACAGATACAGCTTTGTAATCTATTCACCCCCTCTTTCTTTCCTTGCCACCTCACCAACTCCTAAGCCAGAAGTATTTTAGTTTAGCCTCCCTTAGTATGAGATGATGATCAAACTGCAAAGATATTTTCAGTCACCAACAAACAGGGGCTACAGGCATCCTTCCTATGCAACCTGGCTAACAGCCATTAATGGACCTATGCTCCCTGAATTTATTTAGTTCGTATAAGAACTCAGCTCTGCCCTCCATCTGCCCACTCCTGGCACCTTTAAGGCCTCTTGTTCTCCATGTTCTCCTACTGCCCACCAATATCTAGAATAGGTTGAACCTATCTAGTCTAGCACTCTTTGGGTTCAGCAAAATCCATGGTCCAGCATGATTTTAATTAGCTGGATGTCCACTTATCACGGGTGTGGCCATTTCCCACGGTCCCATAAAGTTTGTTTACAGCTACCAATGCTGGTTCTCAGTATTCTGGGCTGTTAGAAGATATATTGGGGTAAATAAAAGCTAAATAAGAGCCCAGTAAGCAGAGGAAATGTTGGTAGTGCTATTAGACAATATTGACCTCCCATGGTTTGGCAAATTCTCTGGTCTGGCACCGAGCAGGTCCTTAGGGTGCCAGACTAGAGAGGTTCAACCTGTACCGTGCCTGATGGTCTGTTAAGTGCTGCTGGGGCCATGAGGTGAGCCAATCTCCCTCTGCAGTATATCCAAGCAGCTACAAGAAGTAGAATCTCCTTCTGGTTCCTAGCAGTACCCAGATGAAGAGGCATAAGCAGAGGGGCCAGGACTCAGACATATATGTGGGATCAGATGGTCAGATCTCTGCAGAAGTCTGTTTTCTTTCAGGAAAATGTAAAGAAAAAAGATTTTATATTTATTTCTTTTATGATTTTGCTCAGTACCACGGCAATACCCTCAGGAAGGGCTTTAAGATCCAGATAACTCAGCTCAACTAAAACCTCTGTTAGTCATTCACTTTCCAACCTTTTAGAATAGTCCTATGAAAGAATAGGGTGGACTAGGATGTACATATTGTGCAAGGGATTGTCTCATCCACAAGCTTCACCCATTATACATATATTCATCTATCTCTACTATTCCTTCTCATTCTATGTTAGAATCTTACATCTGTTGTGAGACAATTGCAATCCAGGGAAACTGCTGGAAAATAAATTTTGGCATCCTAATATCCAGATATTGTGAACCAATGGAAAAGCTGTCTGACTTCTAGAGACATGTAGACATGAAGTCTAACAATGAATTTTTGGGAATGAAGGAAGTCACTTCACAATCCAAAGTTATTCTTATGAGAGTCATGTCAAAAGATGGAAGAGTAACATGAAAGAGAGGGGAAATAAATCAAGAAGTGCAAGTCTGAACTGTCTGACTTCCTTAGGCCAAAAAGACAGGGTAATTCTTTTTTTGTGTGTGCGCTTCAACATCCTTGTTGCAACACTTCTGAATACGCATCATCTGGAAGGTGCTAAGATTGAGAAAGCAAGCAAGTCCATGTTAAAATTCCTATCTAATAGGCATCCTGTACTGGGAGTTCTCCATCACAGTGAGAGCAGTCTTTGTACTGAATTATTTTGTCAGAAGACCAGGGGCTAACTTCCAACACCATGTTCAGCTCTTGAAGAGTGCAGAAGAGCAGAGCATCTTTTCCAGAGAAAGAGGAAGATTGTCATATTCCTGTTTATAATTCAAAATATCTTACAAACCATGCTTACAGCATGGCAAATTCCACGCTTTCCTAACCTAGCTACTGACCTGAAGTATTATAAATGGGAACTATACCCAGAATCACAAGCTCAATAGAAGAAGGAGATGCAAAGAAAAGTCAGAATGACATCAGCATATTTATATACCAAATGACTCTTTATAGAAGCAGTACCTATCAGAAAAGTACCAGAAGCAGGTTGAGCTAGCATAGAAAAGTCCAAACCTGGAGAAACATTGAAAAAAGCATGAATACATTCCCCAATGGCCTAGTACAGTGGAGCTGCTGTTCTTCCTTGTTCCTAGAAATAGAAACAAAAAATAAGAGGCTGGAATGCAAAAGTTTGCACTGCAGCTGCCAGGACAAAGGAAGAAAGACTGAAAAGGAATCGCTGGTGCCAACATGGATAGATTGTAAGGGTGAGTCTACACAGCAGCATTATTTTGGAATAATGGCTGTTATTTCGAAATAACAATGTAAGCGTCTACACAGCAATTCCGATATTTCAAAATAAATTCGAAATAATGGATGGCTTATTCCAACTTCTGTAAACTACATTCTACAAGGAATAACTCCTCTTCTGAAACAGCTACTTCGAAATAGCGATAGTGTGGAGACTCCACTGCTGCTATTTCGAAATAGCTCCTCACCAGGGCCATTCTAAGTAATTACTCCCCAGTGCTTCCTGGGGCTCTAAATCGAGGTAGCATGTCCACATTAAGGGAGCCTGTCTCAGACTAATTTTGAGGCTTCCCTGTAGCATAGATGTGTTATCCTAAATAAGCTATTTTGGAGTATTTCTTCTGGAATAGCTTATTCCGAAAAAAGCACGCAGTGCAGTGTAGATTTACCCTTAGAGACTGATATTGCTTTTGTCTAAAGGTTGCTTGATAGTATGACTATGTGAGAGATTCTTTTTTAGCATTGGGATAAGATATATAACATTTCTTTAATAATGTCTCTGTCACTAACTTTTCAGTTACTAGAAGGTACACAGTTTACTCTAGGCAGTTATTAATATCTTTATGTATTCTCTATCCATTACAAATATGTTACTATTTGCTATTATAAGAACAGAGGAAAAAGAAGCTATACTTACATATATTAGAAATAGGTATTTCTAACTCACCTTTGGATTTTGGAATAAGCTCTCCACAACTTAGTATTCGTACTTCAGCATATGGTTTACTAGATGCATCTGTTTTCTGGTTTTCTATCTCTCTCACAACTTCCTGTCCTGAGATGACTTGTCCAAAAACAACATGAAGTCTGAAGGTTAAAAAAAAATAAAATAAAATGTAAACTTTCTGCTACAATAAAAGATTAAAATATTTATCATCTAAAATTTTAAAAGCACAGTCCACACTTTAATCTTCACAAACACAAATAAAGCAGATAAGATATTTACCCATCTAAGTGAGGTGTAGGCTTGGTTGTTCTTTTGATGCCATCAAAAGGAATAATTAAAACAATGAGAAAAATAAAGTTAGCACCCTTCGCAAAGTAAACATTACATTTGAAACAAAATTAAATTCAAGTTAAAAGTTATCTTGAATACATTAATAAATTAAAAATTCTGTTTTGTTCAATTTTTTTTAACAACCGTGTAGTGTTTGTGTACAGGTTAAATATCACTGAATGAAACATTACATAAGATTCCTACTAAAATCTTTACTTTGCTAAAAAATAAATTTTCAGGAAAGAAGTAAATGAAGATATTCTGGCATTAATACAGTTTTTATATACTATCTTGTATACACAGCATCACAAACTGCTATTAATGATTCAGTCTTATGAACACTTAAGAGTAGATTTTATAAAGAAAATGAATCTATCTCAGAAGAGACTGCAAGTTGTCTTATAGTCATTAGAGAAGGAAGCAGTGAGAAGTCAGAAAAGAAAAAAAATCTGGTCTAGAACTGACTTAAAGAGTCTTTAAGGAGAGCTTTATATACCTACAATGTATTTGTGATTCATGCAAGCTACTACAGCCCATAGGCCAGGACTGGACATCCCATGATATGCAAGTATCAGTCATGAAAGAAATCAGAAGCTGGGCTCTGAAAAAGGCTAGAGATCTGTCAGCAACACAAAAATAACTGTTTAACTGTAGATGATACATGCAGCTCATCACATTAATTAAAGGCAAGATCTTTTGTAAAAGGGTGTCAATTTCAGGAAAGAATATTTTCTGTAGATAAGCCTGATTCAAAGGACTCTCCCTCTGTTGTAGACAAATAGTGATAAATTCAGCCTTCGGTTTATTTTATGTGGTGACACTTCTAACAATAGAGTTATTTTTTCCTTTAAAATGAGATTGCTCTTAGAATGATTTCCAAAGCCACAACTTTACACATATACATGCAGCTACAATAATCACCAGAACTCTTCCCATCCAACTTCTAAAAAAAGGACTCTAAGCAGACAAGGCATTTTATAGGAAATTGAGAAAAACTTTTCAGGAACATCAATTAGCTTTGCATTACTTGCCCAAGTTAGAAATGTACAATGAATTATTTTTATGTATACAAGAAGCACTCATCTAAAACAACAAGGAGTGCTAAATGATAGGTTTATCTCTAAGACAGGCATTTTTAGGAAGCAGCTGTTTTACATGGAGCTTCGTACCTGGAAAACCAGTTCACACTTGACAAATGAAAAACACTTTTGTCTTTTATACAATTTAATGATTACTACAACCTTAACGTAGGAAGCAACATGCAAATCAGAGTAATAAAATACTTACATAAAGAACTGTGAACCGTTTGTATCTTTCCCTCTGTTGGCCATTGACAGAAGAAATTCTTTGTTGTGCTTTACAGCAAAGCTTTCATCTAGAAAAAGTGTTTTTGATTACTTTAGAATACCAAATATTTACTTTGTTCTATTAGTTAAGTGCCATTTATCTATTTTCTTCTCAGCCAATGCAAATAAATGTATCATTGCAATAAAGAGAATTTAAAGAATTATTTTCAAAATAAAGTATCATGTCCTTGACATATCTTATGTTTTATATTCTAATGCCTGAAATTTAATGAGGAGAAAAAACAAACTTTCTTATTTTTACTATTAAATTAACAAGTGACTGTAAAAATGAAACTCTTACTCAACAGATGTACTTCCTGAACACATACATGCAACATCTGAGTATAGCAAACGCCTTTGCTATTTTTCACTTTTGTTAACATATGCAGATCCATACATCTTTGGAAGATCAACATGTTTTTTTTCCTAGTGCATGCATCATCAGCAAATGTTCTGATGCAGAATTTTTATTAAAAACGGTGATCCAATTTGATGTCAAGCCAAATAAGAAGCTTTACTTTCAGATACCAAGAAGAGCTTGCTGTTACAAAAATAAGTTTTATTTAAAATTATCAAGTTTTGCAAAGTCACAAAATTAATCATGACAAGTTTAGAATCACATATGTACAAATTTAAGTCTAATAAAATTATCAAATTTGAATCAGAATAGCGTAAGCCTCATTTAGACAAACATTTTCTGAACAAAACAGTGACGTGATCCAAATATATCTTTACAGCCTTCACACTGCAACCAGGTCAGCTTGCAAAGCCCCCTGAACCCATGCTGAACTCAAATAAAACCAATTGGTCTCAGACTTGGTATGCACAGTCCCCAGGTGATTGCAGAAGGAAGACCAACACTTACATGTTTAATATTTGTAAGACAGTACATTTGAAAAGGTATATAGATTGGCTTGATAAAAAAGTACCTTCAAAAAAGCCACCATAAATGGATTCTCCTCCTCTCCCATTTCCTTGAAACGAAATAAGAGACATCTTATTACAAATAACTGTGGTGAATATAAATCATTTAAAGTTCAGTGTGCAGAACAACTCCTAAAGTATAATATAAAAGATACTTTAATTATTACGTCCAAGTCAAAATATCTTCAAGAACAGTCGTGAAATCATGAAAGTCTGCTTACATAGAATGGGACAGGTTATTGCTTTTCCATGCATTTTGTGCTGTCTCACACATCTCTAGATCTAGGCCTACTACTGGGAAATACAATGCTTTACCATAGAACTAAAATCTCCACTGGAGGGCCACTTCAAACTTTAAAGATAATAAAACGGAAAGCTATTTATAAAAATCTTCTTATTTGAAGGGCCTATTCAGCATACCTTAATTCAAAGCACACAAACTTTAAAGTCAACAGACATTTCATCTGAATATGCAGTGCTGAACAGGACCCTGAAAAATATCTTACTATTTAAGAACGGGAGTTTTATTTTAAGCCTTTGTCCTACCTTCACTGAAGTCACCTCCTTGGATCATAAAATCTTTCACAACTCGGTGAAACAGACAACTTTTGTAATGCAATGGCTTCTGGGTTGATTTTCCAGTACCCTTTTCACCTAAAAGAGCAAGGAGAAGAGAGAAGAGGCAGGAAAGGATGGGGGATGATAATTTGCACCAACAGTCTAACTTTAATAAGTCTTGTAATCAGCTTGTGAAGTACACAAATATCTGCTTTGTAGAGAGGAAAACAGACAAATACATTAAGTTCAATGTTGACTATTGATTTTGGTTTTCATTTTCTAGATATCCATCTTTCAGAGGTGCTGAGTTTCCACAATTCCAAAGGAAGGTCTTAGGAGCTGAGAGTGCCCATCACATCTGAAAAGTGAGATCCTGGGTCTCTGAGAACTTGGGTTACACCATCTCAATACCCACTTTTGAAAATTTTGGCCAAGGTATCTTGCCCAAGATCACAAAGGAAGTCTATAGTGAAGCTATAGATAGGACAAAAATCTCCTAGGGAAGTTTACCAGCATCAATAAGAACATCAAATGTGTTATCATTCCAGAGTGAGATTGTCCACAGGAAGAATACCAGACTAACTAGGGTGGTAAAATTACATGTGTATAAATTTCCCTGCTGGTGGCTGTAGACAGAATCATAGAACAACAGAACACTAGAATTGGAAGGGACGAGGTCAGAGTCCAGTCCTCTACCCTCATGGCAGGACCAAGCACCATCTAGATCATCCCTAACAGATCTCTCTCAAATATCTCCAGTGATGGAGATTCCACAACCTCCCTAGGCTATTTATTCCACTGTTTAACCACCCTGACAGGAAGTTTTTCCTGATGTCCAACCTAAACCTCCCTTGCTGCAGTTTAAGCCTGTTGCTTCTTGTTCTATCCTCAGAGGCCAAGGAGAACAACTTTTCTCCCTCCTCCTTATAACACTCTTTTAGATACTTGAAAATTATCAGTCTTCTTTTTTCTAAACTAAATCAGCCCAGTTCTTTCAGTCCTCCCTCATAAGTCATGTTTTCTAGACCTTTAATCATTTTTGTTGCTCTTCTCTGGACCTTCTCCAATTTTTCCACATCTTTCTTGAAATGTGGTGCCCAGAATGGGACACAATACTCCAATTGAGGCTTAATCAGTGCAAAGTAGAGTGGAAGAATGATTTCTCATGTCTTGCTCACAACACTTCTGTTAATGCATCCCAGAATCATGTTTGCTTTTTTTGCAACGGTGTCACACTGTTGACTCATGCTTAATTTTTTGCCCGCTATGACTCCTAAATCCCTTTCATCAGTACTCCTTCTTAGACAATCACTTCCCATTCTGTATGTCTGAAACTAATTGTTCCTTCCTAAGTGGAGTACTTTGCATGTGTCCTTATTAAACTTCATCCTATTTACCTCAGACCATTTCTCTAGTTTGTCCAGATCATTTTGAATTTTGACCCTATTCTCCAAAGTACAGTAGACTTCCGATAATCTGCCACCGTTGGGACCCAGGGGGTGCCGGATTATCGGATATGCTGGAGTATCAGGAGGTACTCCGGAAGGGGGCCTGTGATGGGTCCGGGGGTGGGGGCAGAGGTGTCGGCAGGGAACAGTGCGGTGTGGGGCGAACCCTCTGCCGTTTTGCAGGGAGGCAGGGGAAGCCCTGCGCAGCCGCTGGCGACAAGCCAGCTGGGGCTGCAAGCAGCAGCGGCGACTTGGGAAAGGGGCAGGGCAGAGCATCTGAGGTGCTGCCAGGTTGGTCCCGCAGCGCTGCTCAGAGGCGGCGCTGCGGCACCAACTGGGTAGCACCCCAGCTGCTCTGTCCTACAGGTTTCCCCAATCTGGCCGCGCTGACACT